AACCAAAGAGTTCTGAAGCACCAACAACTCGTCAATCAGATCATGTGAGAAGACGTCCCAATTGGCACTCAGATTATGTTATAGAAGGTAATATTGCATACTGTCTTTTAACAAAGGACGGTGAGCCATCAACATATCAGGAGGCAATAAACAACTCAGATGCTTCACTGTGGATGATGGCGATGCAAGAAGAAATCAAAGCCCTTCATAAAAATAATACATGGGGCCTTGTGCCACTACCACAAGGAAGGAAGCCAATTGGTAACAAATGGGTTTTCAAAATCAAGCGAAATGGTGACGATCAAGTTGAGAGGTATCGTGCAAGACTAGTGGTCAAAGGATATGCTCAAAAAGAAGGTATTGATTTCAATGAAATATTTTCTCCTGTGGTTCGACTAACAACAATTCGAGTAGTTTTGGCAATGTGTGCTACATTGAACTTACATCTAGAGCAGCTAGATGTTAAAATAGTTTTTCTTCATGGAAATCTTGAAGAAGAGATTTACATGCTTCAGCCTGAAGGTTTTGAAGAAAAAGAAAAGAAGAACTTGGTTTGCAGGTTGAACAAATCTCTGTGCGGACTAAAGCATGCGCCGAGGTGTTGGTATAAGAGATTCGATTCCTTCATTATGTGCCTTGGATACAACAGACTTAATGCAGACCTTGTGCTTATTTCAAAAGGTCTGGTGATAACGATTTTGTTATATTGATGTTGTATGTGGATGACATGTTGGTTGCATGACCCAACAAAGATCATATTGATGAATTGAAGGCACAACTGGCTAGGGAATTTGAAATGAAGGACTTGTGATAAGCAAACAAGATTCTAGGGATGCAAATTCACCGAGACAGAAGTAATAGGAAGATTTGGCTTTCACAAAAGAATTACTTGAAGAAGATCTTGTCACGATTTAGCATGCAAGATTGTAAGCCAATTTCTACTCCTCTTCCTATTAACTTCAAATTATCATCCAGTATGAGTCCTAACAGTGAAGAAGAAAGGATAGAGATGTCTCGAGTACCGTATGCATCAGCAGTGGGAAGTTTAATGTTCGCTATGATATATACAAGACCAGACATTACACAAGCTGTGGGAGTGGTTAGTCGGTACATGGCAAATCCAGACAAATAGCATTAGAATATAGTGAAGAGGATCCTGAGATACATCAAAGGAACCTCAAATGTTGCATTATATTACGGAGGATCAAACTTACTAATAAATGATTATGTAGATTCTGACTATGCAGAGGATTTGGATAAAAGCAAATCTACTACAGGATATGTGTTCAAAGTTGCTGGTGGAGCTGTAAGCTGGGTTTCAAAATCGCAGTCAGTTGTGGCTACGTCCACAATAGAGGCAAAATATGTAGCAGCTACACAAGCCAATAAAGAAGCAATTTGATTGAAGATGCTATTGGAGGAGCTTGTGCACAATTAAGAGTATGTCTCTCTATTTTGTGACAGTCAAAGCGCCTTGCATCTAGTAAAGAATCTAGCATTTCATTCAAGGACAAAGCACATACGAGTTCAGTACCATTTCATTCGTGAAAAGGTTGAAGAAGGGACAATAGATATGCAGAAGATTCATACCAAAGACAACATAGCAGATTTAATGACGAAGGCGATCAATGCTGATAAATTTATATGGTGCCGATCCTCTTGTGGCTTGACGGAAACATAAGCAACATGATGGTACAAGAAGAAAGAATGGTGTGAAGATATGATTGTTCCAATCAAATCTTCAAGTGAAAGATTATTGAAAGTCTAAGAAAGAGGAAACACATGGGCGGCTAAAAATTAATTAGGAGCCAAAATTGTTGAAAATTAGCAAGGGTAAAATACCTAATTTAGTCATCAAGATTAGTCCTTAAGTTTCAACTATAAATACCCTAGCTCATTTAGCTTCAAAATCATCCCAAAGCATTCTAGATTTCTTCCAATACTAGAAAGAATTTAGAGAGTTTCTTAAGAGTTGTTTTCTCCTTTTTATCAAGAGAGAATTATCATTGTTTTCTCCTTGGTCGATTGAGAAAAGTTGTAATTCCTATTTTCTAATAGTAAAATTCTTCTACCGTTGCCTGTGGTTTTTACCCTATATTATTCAAGAGTTTTCCACGTAAATTTTGTGTCTCTTTTATCTTAATTTTTATTTTTTCAAATTCTCAGTTACGATTTTGCTCTATCCGATAGCCGTCTTCCGCAACACAAATGATAAAAAACCAGAAGTTTAAATTTGCATATTTAACGATGGCATCTAAATTATGGTAAAGTAAGCAGATTAATTATAACAAATGGAATAGATAAGAAAAATATTAAATAGGGAGTGGGAGAATTATGCGTGTAGATTAACCACATGAGGGTTTGCAGGCATGGGTGCCGCTGCATTGCTTCCTTGAGTAGGAAGATAAACAACTTTTTCTTTCGGTAAGGGAGTTAAATGATTGCAACATCTGATAATAAAAAGTTCAACCAGTTGAAGATGATCAGTTTCTGGGAACCAATAATTTACCTTTTCTTTTTTATTTCCTCAATGGCCTTCCAACAATTTAAAAGGAACGATAATGAACCCAGTAAATAATCTAAAATTCATCAAATCCCTATTGTCAGCATTACAATCTAAACCTAACAAGAAATATAACAAACCTTTGCTGCAGCATCCATTGATCCAAATTTGCATCCAACAAGAGGCCACCATGGAATTCACCTGCAAAAGTATTCAGGATCCATCTCTTCACGTATGTCATGCGGATCACAAGCTTCTTATAGTTAGAACCAGATACTGCTTTCCCATTCCTTTCTACAATACCACTTCTACCACTGCCCACAAAATTTATCCCATACAAAAAGAGAAAGCAATGACGCTATCTGCAAGTCATCAACAGTAACCCGCTCCTTGGCTAAACCATTCAAGTGCTTCAAATGAAATACCATAGCTTGAGCAGAGGGAGCAATTGCATCTAACTCTTCATCTCTTTCCCTAAAGAAATGGATATAATCATAAATCAACTAGAAGATAAGAAATCTTATCTGCAAACCCATAAGGCAGAATCTACTACTCTTGATTTACAAAGCAAATTGTCCTACTCACATATTATATGCTCATAGCTATTCAAGGGCATGAAGGGACGATCACGCCCAGCCAACACCATAAAACCCATCTGGTGTATAGTCTTCACTCTTCAGTTCCACAAAACGAAGTGGTACTATACTATTGTGATAAATCGGAGCAATAATCTATTGGTTTCCGAGACTTGCATGGTTTTGGATTGTTAAGATCCTTATCAGAATGCCTTTTCGACTAAAACTATACTTAGATATTTCTGAGGATGATCCTTCATCATGTTCAGTAGCTCCTTCTCTTGGCTGGGGCAAAGATGCATCAAGCTGAGAACATTCAACTTCACTTCCTTTACTTGTCGACTCATGACCAACTGAGGTACTATTTTTTACATGGAGACCCATTTTATAACTAAGTGTATCATCCTCTCGTCTGACACTACTTATTTTCTCATCTTTGGCTTCTGACACAAGTAATGGATTATCATCATCTTCGCCTATAAGTTCAGATACAGCATCTACACCAGTGTCAGAGGCCTGATGAGAGCCTATTTCAAATATATTATAATTTTACTAACCACCAACCCTCTTATTTATATGTTATAATTTGACTAACAAATATAAATCAAAAATATTTAGATAAGTTAAAAATATTAAAATAATATTTAGATTAATATTAAAATATTATTTAGATAAATTAAAAAATAATTAAAAATTTTAAAATAATTAAAATTTCAAATAAAATATTTAATTTAACATTGATGTTATAAATATAAATATAATTTATATTATAATTAACGTATTTCATAAATATATATATAAAAGTAATTACATTACAGTTTACGATTGTTAAATTTTAGAGGTATTTTTTATCATTATACTTAAAATTTTAGTCAGAACGAAATTGACCGCATCCTAGAGAATAATGTGGAATGATTTTGAGTTAGGACTACCTAAACCGATCAAGCGAAGCAAATGACAAATGACGATAATTTTAAGTAAAATTGTTCATTTGAACTTATTATTAGAGATTTTAAGATATGGTTTCATTTAAAATTCAGTTTTTTAACTTTTTTTTATCTTTACACGTAGGTATGTCAGAAGTAATGTAGTAATGTCAATGGATCATGACTAATTGGAGGACATTAAGGTTGTTCAAACGGGTAGTTCAATTAATTGACTGAATCGAATTACGTAAATTCTATTAATCGAATTTCCTCTTATTAACCATTAATCGAATTAAACTTTTTTTAAAAAAAATAACCGAACCAAACTAAGTTCAGTTAATCGAATTAATCGAATTAACCGAAATTTATAAATAATATATATTATATATTAAATATTTTTTTTTGGTTTATTCGGTTACTTTGGTAGATTAATTCTATAAAAATTGAGTTCAAACACTCCTAAAACTAAATAATATATATATAATATTTAATATTTAATAATTTTGATTAATTCGATTAATTCAGTTAATTAATTGATTTTGAACTGAATTAACCGAAATCAAAATAAAAAAAAAAACATTACCGAACCTAAAATTAACATACTAAAATTTCAGTTTGGTAACCGAACAGTGAACACCCCGCAGGACATTGACTTTCAAAGACTATTGAATGCGTTATTTCAAAGAATTTAATATACAAATAAATTATAACAAAAATTAGCCTTATAGAAAAAGTTCGGAAGGAGTACAACAAATAATAAGAAAATGCAAATATCTTATTTTAAATTTATTTAACTGACATTAATTTGTTAATGAATCCTATTTCTTTTTACACCTTGTAGATTAAATATTGAATATTAGAATTAATTTAGGTATTGCATGGAAAAAAAATTAAATTCAATTCAATTAAGAAATCGGGACTTCTAATCGTGGAATCAATTCTTAGTTTTGTTTCAACAGCGCTATTAACAAATACAATAATAATATTTCCTCAATTACTGAACAAAAAAGAATGTATGTTGTTGTATCGAGGGGATGCCCACTTCGTTTTGGTATTGGATTGGCATTGGGAGGAATGAAATCGAGCAGCACAATGCCAATAACACTGTTCACTGTCAAAGCCCTTTCTTCTTCTTCTTCTCCAAACGAAAACCCAAACCCAGGTTTTAAATCCCTATATAGTATTCTTCTTGCTTCTTTGATTCCTTTTAATGCTGAACTTTTGGGTATTTGCAGGTTCTGGAGTGACCAACAACACCTCTTTGCCAGAAGTCCGAACTTATACGAGGAAAAAGAGGGTTAAAAAGACAGTGGATGTCGTGGAAGAGAATAATACCAAAGCAGAAAACAAAAATCATAGCGTAAGACCATTGGATTTTTTTTTTGTCTTTTTTCAGTAATTCTTTATTATGCAACATTAAAGGGTTTATATTTGTTTGTAGTCTGCTCTGCTGTTAAAAATTTCCTTTTATGTAAACAAAGATTCTTTTGTTCATTGTTGATGTTTCCTAGTTTACTCGAGGCGATGTCGGATACAACGTGTTGACATGTTTATACTGATATTTTAAAAAGTTATTTTTTTTCATATATGCGGATGATCATGACGGTCTACTTATGTTTGAGTATGCGCCATATAATGGTCTTCCTAACTGGTGGAATTTTATCCTATATGAGCCTAGAAAATGTTTATATACTCTGAAATTCATCATTTAACAGAAAATGTTTATATACTCTGAAATTCATCATTTAACAGTGTCATGTTACTGTATCACTCCAAAATTGACGTTTTACAACTGTTTTTGTTTGTTAAGATGATTTGAATTTAATGGATTGATAACTCAAGGTGGGGTAGCCTCCTTTTAGAATCAACCCTTCAAATTCTACATGAAAATTGAAGCACTGAGACTTGATTCTCAGTCGCTGGCAAAGATTTGCTTTTTCTTTTACTTACCAATACAGCTAGTTGGGTTCTTATTTGACTTAGAAAAGATTTGGTTCTTGACCATACAAAATATATTGTCTTTTTGCACAGCGGTGTGGCCTACCTGACATAGAGGAATTTGCATACAAGAAGGTAGATGGATCTGGTCGGTCAGGTAGGATTTCCATTGCAATTCTATGATGGATTTACAATGTCAATGCGTCTAGTTATTACATATCATGGAATAATTGCAGGATGTTATACATTTCATCATATCATGAGAACTTGCACATCGGTATCATGCTGTATTCCTATTTCACATATGGGAACATATAGACCTCCACATAACATTTACACCCAGGCATATAGATGGATAGATGCATGGATATGATATATACATATGCTCAATTTTGTCTATTTTTAATGGGTAATCTCCCCGGCTCTGTCTAGTTTGACATAATGATGGTTTTGCAGGAAAGTCAAAGTCCACATGTGATGAGCTTAATTTGGGTGTTGGTGTTACTTCTCCAACTGGATCGGGAGGTAAACAATGAAAATTATGTGCTTGTGGAAATGGTACTTGAAATTACAGGAGAAGTAGAGAGTTTTTTCTGACGGAAAATTTATATGTATAAGTGCATACCAATTTGCTCTAGCTTGTATGCACTTTTCTCCTATAAATAAATTGAATAGTCTGTTTATAGTTGCTGATGTTTGCAGTTGGTGTTTGTACCCTGTCATTATGGTTCGAATATAGAAACTTATAGACTTCTGTCTATAGAGAATGTGTTTGGAAGATTCTCTCTACTTAATGAAGAGGTCCATGTAAAAAATGGGACAATGTGACAATTTTGATCGACAAGACCTTTTTCCCAGTGCATTTGTTTTGAGGGTTAAAACACAAAAGCTGATGCATTTGCTGTTGACTTGTTCTATATGATTCAGGCAAAGCACCTGCCAATTGGGATAAAGTGCTTCAAGGAATAAGAAAAATGAGGTCCTTGGAAGATGCACCTGTAGATACTATGGGATGTGAGAAAGCCGGAAGTGTTCTTCCACCCAAGGTACAATCTTTCTGATCACTTGTAGGTGGATACTGGATAGTTCGTTCATGATCAATAATTTATCATTTTCTGCTGTATTTTTCCTTGTATTTATGATGCCCTTTTTGGTTCTTAAGTTCAAGAGATCAAATCTGGTATTTAAAGTAAAGGGAACTGAAGTGCTTTATATAATCTGAGACTACCGCTAAGAATTATTGAACCACACATTTATTAGCCAGAAAAACTGCATAATGTCAATATGGTATGTGCTTCATGTTGTAGTTTAAATATCATTGATTCTTGTTAGGGATGTAAATGAGACGAGATAGATCACGAGCTGCTTGAGTTCGACTCGGTGAAAGCTCGGTCAATACTCAAACCGAATGGACTCGACTCGAGTTCTTAACGAGCCGAAACGAGCTACTTGATATTCGACTCGAAAAGCTCGCGAGTAACTGAAAAAAATATATATTAATTTTTTAATTTTTTAAATTAAATTATTAATAATATTAACATTTATATGTTATTTTTTTAAATGCAATATAAGGTTTTCATGTACTTAAGGTTCATATTCGAGCTAAGTCTGAATGTTTTGAATTCAAGTGTTTTTGAGCTCGAGTCAAGTTTCAATTTTTGATTTCTAGTTCAAGTCGATCTTGACAATTTTAAGCTCGCGAGCTTTCAAGTCGAGCTCAGATTTGAACTTTTTGAGTCGAGTCGAGCTCAACAATACTCGAGCTTAAGATTCTCACTTTGCAGCACTGGCTACTATATTATATATTCAATTATTGACTGTGAATATCACTTTATCTCTCTGTTAAGCTTTTATTGAAGGACTGATTTTCTTATTAGCCACGACCTTGGCTTCAAGCTCCCTCAGTGGAGTCTAGATTCCGGAAGTACAATTTCATCATTGTTAATATGAAGTAATTCCATTGAAGTTTCTTTGCTTCCTAAAGACATCTGTTTTAGATTCTTATTTACTGATTCTTTTCTATTTCATGGATGTTTAACTATATATGCTTGAGAACATGTAACAAATGGATATAACTTTTAAATCTCACTGTTAGGAAAGAAGATTTGCTGTCTTGATATCGTCACTACTATCTAGCCAAACCAAAGATCATGTTACTCATGGTAAACCCCTAATCTTTTAGTTTAGTTTACAATTATATCTCACTTCAACTAATCATCCTCTTGAAGTATTTCACGTTCTATTTATAACTTGCAATGGTATGAAATCGGGGCATCTAGATGTTTCCTTGGAGACGGTCAAAAGTGTTGCACCAGAAAATTCTTAAGCATTATACTTTTGCTACTTTTTATGACGAAAATGTTCTCTTCAAAGCATATCATGGATATTTTGCTTGTAATCTAAATTTCCAAATATGAGTTCATTTTTTATGCATGATGAATTAAATTGTTACATTGTGGTTGCATGGTTGTTCCTATATCTGGATACTCAAAAATAACTGTACACTATTTAATTTAACTGATTCCTCGATAGGTTGTGCTTGTAATTTTAACTGCAGAAGAAAATGATATGGAAAAAGTTTTAGAAGTTTATATAACTCTACCACAATATGAAATTAAAAATTCTAAAATAGCAGATGCTTCTGAGCACTTGAAGTAGGAAAATGACATTATCAAATCAAATTAGTTAAATTGAGATGAAAGAGAAAAAACGTTTTTTTTTCTCTGTGTAGCTTAGACTTGGGACATGAGCATGTACTGGTAATGGTCATGAATGACTAAAAACGTTTTTGAATCATCAATCGAGCCTGCTTCAATGGCAAAGAACTTTCTTTGAATGAAGTTCTAGTTCAGGATAGGTCCTAGGCAACCCTTCCATCCTCCCCTAACAAAATATAGCTTTGAATAAGGCCACTGCCACTCTTAAATTTTGCCTTATAAAGATTTAGGTAAGGAATATCTTTGCAACATATGAGATGTAAATGATATCATGTTATTTGATTCTAACATCATTGGAACTTTCTATAGGTCTAGTATTTTCTGAACTTTGTTGATAATGTTCTTAACATTTTAATAATGATGCTCTACATGCAGGAGCAATTCAACGTCTAGGTCAGAATTGTCTTCTGACTCCTGATGCTATTGACAAAGCCGATGAAGAAACTATCAAGGAGTTGATCTACCCGGTATGTCATCCTAGAAATCACTTAAACCGATGGTTTTCCTTTTGACCTATGTGTGCTAGTCCAGACTAGGTATAGAATTTTTTTTTGCCTGTAAGCTGTAACTTTATCTTATTCCCTACTCAATTCTTGTCTATCCCCTTCCCCTGCTTCTTTCTCGGCTACTGTAGGAGTTATGAAATTCCATTTTCTTTGTTTTAGGTTGGGTTTTATCCAAAGAAAGCTACTAATATGAAGAAAATTGCAAAAATCTGTCTTATGAAGTATCATGGGGACATTCCAAGGTCATTGGAGGAATTACTCTTACTTCCAGGGATAGGCCCAAAGATGGCTCATTTGGTAGGGTAACTGCATACCATTTTCAGATTATATGTACACTGAATTTTTACTGTTGTTTGATTGAATGGTGCTTTAGGTTATGAATATTGCGTGGAATGATGTTCAAGGGATATGTGTAGATACTCATGTGCACCGCATTTCCAATCGGCTTGGATGGGTGTCTCGACCTGGGACAAAACAGGTACCTCAATCTTATACATTGATGATGGCAAGAAGTTAGATGTTTTATGTTTAGTTCTTTATTCTTTTATGTACTCTTGAAATTGTTCTTTCCTTATTTTGATTAATTGTTCATTTTTCTTTATAAAATATTTTTAGCATTAGAAGTGCTCAATTTGAGTATCTATCTGAATTTAATCAGGATTGTAGGTAACACAGAAATTTGGAACTTAAAATGCGTTTCAGTGTCTGAAGATAGATGACATGGATTTAGTGCCTGTAATATTTTGATAAGTGCTTCGATGCCATATTTGAATAAAGATTTTAGGAATTATCTGTTAATATTTTACTCAACTCAGTTAACCCAGTGGATGTAAGGCCTCTGGAGATATTACTTCTTGACAGTAATTTGACTTCAAAGTAGCAAAATGATATTTGTTCCTCCCTCTTTCCACATTTTTCTTAGTCACCACTTCGAAACAAATATTATTGTACAACTTCCAATTGGAATTTTAAACCTTGTACAAAGAAAATTTGATTTATTAGTCCCGAGTTACTACAAATTGGAAATGGCGTCTTTCTTCTATGGAAGATTTGTTTAGTGGATGCTCTTTCCCTTTTCGTATTTAAACAAATGGCATGTATCATTACTCATTTATTGTGTTGGCTTGCTAGAAAACTTTATCTCCAGAGGAAACAAGAGTGGCATTACAACAGTGGCTTCCGAAGGAGGAATGGGTACCAATTAACCCTCTTTTGGTACGTAGCTATTTCATTTATTTGATCTGCTCACACATAAATATGCACTCTTATATACGAATACTTTAGATGCATGCATGGGGTGAAATTTATCTTATCTATGAATGGCTTTGTTCATGCTACATTCGTTGGTATAGGTCATACCTCCATGGTTAGTGCCTTAAACATTTAAGTTCACCTAAGACACGTTAGCATGGTTTCTGCATCCTTGTTTTCGTAAATTTTCCAATCTTTATATAACTTGTGATTACTACTACTGCAATTCCTTTTGGTAATGTGTTTCATATGATCTTATCGCCAACCTCTGAATTTATGCAACTAAGGTCGAACAACCTAATGCTTTTATGACTAAATTTGAATTTGAACAGGTGGGATTTGGACAGACGATTTGTACCCCACTCAGGCCACGATGCGATTCCTGCAGCATTACTGAGTTTTGCCCGTCTGCATTCAAGGAAGCCTCAAGCCCTTCATCCAAGGTTAAAAAATCTGGTGTTAGAAAAAAGCTTTGATCATTTTAATTCTTGGAAACGGGATTTTAAATTCCATTTTGGTCCCTTGAGCTTTGATCAAGGCCGGGTTAATTGAATTGTAATATGCTGCAACTTGATATTCTAATATCTAACTAGATGTATTCATATCTTATTGAAATTTACAAGTATTGCTAGGTGTGATTGTGAACCTTTCTTTCTATTTTGTTGCGGGGCTTAGAAGCATATATGCTTTTTGAGGAGAGACTTGTATAAAGTTGTTACTGAAAATCTGTCATGACAAGAATTTGGAAAGTTATGTCATGTATATATTGTTATGAAAATCAAAGCATGTGTTGCATATTGCTTGCATGATTTGGTTTTGACTTTATCAAAGCTTTATTACTGATGCTGTGAAACCTATCGAGTGACATTAATGGTAAAAAGCATGGTTCTGAGTTCGAGTAGTTACATCTGCAAGGTGTGTGTTCATGTCAATAGGTTAAGAAAATTCTGAATATATACTACCTTGTAATTACTCACTCACCTTTTATGGGTAAAGTTCATTTATTCTTCTTTCATTTGCTATTTCCCACCCTTTTCATGTTATTTAAAAACCATTGCTACCCACGTTGAAGCATTAAGTAAGAATTCCATGTTTGTAAAGGGAAACGCTACAGATGTATGATTGCTTGATAATGCTTTGACTTTGTTTCATTAGATGATTGACATGTATCCAAAGCCTTCCATTTTGGAATTCAACCAATTGTTAAAATGAAACATTATGCCACTGTTGTTATGGTTTTTTATTTTGGGTAAAATGATTAAGTTAGGTGTTGTAACTTTTTTCGCGATATTCGAACTTAAGACTTCAAGAAATAATAAAAAATATTTTAATTACTGAGATCATTTGGTTCGTGTAAATTAAATTTTTTTTTAAATGAAAACTGTCGTACAGTTTGAGATCGATGCAAGCTGCTAGGAAATAACATAAACCCTACCGGATGCAACTCCAGTTTTACATCTTTCAAATTTAAAAATGTTTTGGATAAATTGCACAAGTAGTCACCAACCTAATGTTTTTTTGGTCACCAAACTAATTTTTACAGAAACATCACTAACATAAGTTCACATATTTTAATATTTAATCCTTGTCCCATATTTGTTTCTTTCGAAGGTGCTTAAGTCTTGACTGGATTTGTTTAAAATTTTCTCAACATCGAAATTCATGTTGAGTCATGGACTCAATTCCTCAGCAATGCTAACAAAGCCAAATCTTCACTTCACCACTTCTTGTTTTCCCTCAAATTTTCAATATCTTCCCTGCACACCTCCACAAAGGATAGCATCTTCCCCAACTCTGCAAAAATCCGCTGCAAAAATTCCAAATTCATTGTTCACTGCAATACCCAGATCACTCAACATGCAAGAAATAGGAATATCAAAGAAGCCGAATCAGTCTTCAACAATATGCCGTTCAAAAGTGCCGTAACTTGGACTACCATGCTTACTGCCTATACAGAAAATGGGAACATTTCAAAAGCCCGTGAGATGTTCGACAAAATGCCGGAAAGAAGAACTTCTTCGTATAATGCGATGATCACAGCTTATAATAAGAATGGTGTTATGTTACATGTGATCTTTTCTGCAACATGTCTGAACGGGATGCAGTGAGTTACGCCACAATGATCACCGACTTTGTTTGTAAAGGAAGGTTTGATAAAGCCTTGTAAATTTATGAAAATACTCCTGGGAAATGGAGGGAACCGGTTTGTTCAAATGTATTGATAAATGGGGTATTTGAAAGTTGGGAAATTGGATATGGCAGTTGGTATTTTCAAAGGTATGGATCGGAGAGATGTTTCTTTGAGCCTAATGGTTGATGGGTATTGCAAGAGCGGGAGAATTGTGGAGGCTAGAAAGTTTTTTGACGAGATGGTGGAGAGAAATGTAGTCACTTGGACAACAATGATTAATGGGTACCTAAAAATGGGATATTTAATTGATGGTTTTTGTTTGTTTTCAAGGATGAGAAAAGAAAAAGGAGTTTTGGTAAATTCTACTACTATGACTATTATATTTGAAGCTTGTGGACATTTTGATAGATATAGAGAAGGAATTCAAATGCATGGATTGGTAAGGTCGGGATTCGAATTTTGTGTTTTTCTAGGAAATTCTATTATTACTATGTATTGTAGGTTTGGTTGTATTGATGCTGCTAATTTGGTATTTGACATGATGACAAGGAAAGACTTGGTTTCTTGAAATTCTTTGATCATGGGTTATGTACAAGAAAATGAGACAAAAAAAGCTTATGAACTTTTTGAAAAGATGCCTAGAAAGGATGTAGTTTCTTGGACTACCATGATTATGGGGTTTTTTGGTGAAGGACAAACTGATAAAGCTGTTGAGTTGTACTAATTTCAGGGTTTGTCAGCAATGAGATGTATGAGGAGGCTTTTCGCTGGTTCACTGATATGCTTTAGAAATCAGTAAAGCCAAATTCTCTTACTTTGAGCTTTTTGTTGAGTGGTTCAGCCAATTCAGCAATACTAAGCAACGGGCAGCAGCTCTATGCACAAGCTATCAAGATGCGTTTGGAATTTGATTTGTCAATTCAAAATTCACTTGTCTCAATGTACTCAAAATGTGGAAATATAGCCAATGCATGTCAAGTCTTTACGAATATTAAAGAACCTAATGTTTTTTCTTTTATTACAATGATTGCCGGCTTTGCTCAAAATGGATTTGGTGAAGCACTTAAATTGTTTGGGAAAATGCAGAGTGAAGACCAGGAGCCAAATCCTATAACCTTTCTTGCTGTTTTGTCTGCTTGCACCCATGTTGGATTCATAGAAGTAGGATGGGAACTCTTCAAATCCATGAAATCTTTATATAACATAGAACCAGGGCCTGACCACTATTCTTGCATGGTTGATCTCCTTGGCCAAGCTGGGTTGTTTGACGAAGCACTTGATTTAATCTATTCAATGCCATTCGATCCCCATACTAGAGTTTGGGGAGCCCTCTTGGGTGCAAGCATGACTCATCTCTGTGTTGGTCTTGCCAAGCTTGCATCTCAGCAGCTTATTAAATTGGAGCCCGATATTCCAACTCCTTATGTTGTTTTGTCTAATTTACATACTATCCTGCGAAAGAAGAAAGAAGGAGACAAAGTAAGAATGGGCAAGAAATCCAAAAGGATACAGAAGAGCCCTGGGTGTAGTTGGTTGATGGTTAAGGACAAAGTTCATTTGTTTCTCTCAGGAGATAAATCTCATAAGGATTCAGAAGAGATTAGAAATACATTACAGACAATTATGAAGGAAATCGAAGAGCTAGGTTGTTATAGATTAATGGCTCAATTCTTAAGCTCCTAATCTTTGCCCTCCGTAGGTTCTTCTGCTGTAATAGTTTCTACTATCATAGGCTTGTGATTGTGACTTTATTCGAGCAGACCCTGTATTGGCTCTCGATGTTTTCTGTCGGTTTTCCAATGCAAACAAAATGCATTCAACATCATTAGCAATTTTCCATTCCTGAAAGGTGCTTACCTGACCATCCCTTCTTTTCCTGCCACTGTGGTTACTTCATTTATCGGAATCAAGAATTTAGTGCATTCGGTAAGTGAGACTCATAGCTGTACTTTTACTATACTAGGTGTAGTCTCCTATCATTCATCTGTTGTCCATTTTGCAGATACTAGTTTGTACAAGATTTACAACAGATACAAATGCTCAGGTATGGGAAATGATATATGTTGTCTCATGTCTCTATAAAACTTGTCTTATTCTTCTTAAGAAGGCAAATCTGACCAATATTTTCTTGAATCTAAATAGTGGTATTATTGCTTTGTAAAGTTTGTTTAACATTACTTTTTGATGAACAAGTGTTTAATCAATTGGTTAAATGGAAGACCATGAGGAAACAATCTGGCAGATCCTTTGCCCTTTTACTACCCAGCTCTCTGCTGCAGGTGGTTTATGTGGTTGGATTTGATGTATGCCTTACTCATCTGAGTGTCTTCTTCATATAAATGCTTTATGTTTCTCCGACTCTTCATTTTTCTTGAAAGTAATCGTATCAAATATCCATGTTAGATGGATATACAGACATGGGTATGCGAATATGACTCTCCAAATGCAAGAAAAAGCTTCGAAAATAGTGAATGTGTCCATGCCAAATATATTTGACAATCACATCCGAGTCTATGCAACGTAATCCAAACATTAGAGAAATACAATGCACTCATGCACACATGGTTATTAATCATGTCTTGCTCATATGAATCTGGGGGTCTGCATGGAAAATCTGTTTCTAATGGATTATGAGACCAGCCAAATCCAACATATTATATCTAATTGTATTCTCATCTGTTCTTTAAATTGTTTTACATTGATTATACTGGTAATGATTACTAAGTTAGAAGTTGATACAACAGAAATTAGTTATTGTTGCATGTCTCTATTTAGGGTGAATGAGATGAGATTGATCGTGTGCTATTTGAGATTGACTCGGTTAACACTCGAATAGAATAGACTCGACTCAAGCTCAAATTCCACTTGAAATCTTAACGAGCCGAAACAAGCTACTTGATACTCGACTTGAAAATCACGTGAGCTACTCGAAAAAATAATATATTAATATTTTAAATTTAATTATTAATAATATTAATATTTATATGTTATTTTTTTATAAAAAAAATACAATATAAGACTTTCATGTACTTAAAGTTCAGGTTCGAGTCGAGTTTCAATTTTAGATTTCGAGTGGAGCTTAAAAATTTTAAGTTTGCGAACTTTCGAGTCGAGCTTCAATTTTTTATTTTGAGTTCGAATTGAGCTTAACAATTTTAAGCTTGCAAGTTTTCAAGTCTAGTCGAGCCTAATTTTAAAGTTTTTCGAATTGAGTCAATCTCATCAATACTTGAACTCGACTCGGTTTGTTTACAACCCTATTAATATAAAGTTATTAAATTTGACAATTTATTAAGCTTGATCTCTTAACTTGTTTTTCAGTTTACATTAGTCCTTCGATCTAATAACATTTTGTATTTAATTCAGGGACGGAGTCAATGAGTGAGAGGAATAGTCTCTCTTATAAAGCACAAGGCGCTGGAGGATCCCGGTCACCACCGGCATCATCATGACCGCACAAGCCAATGGATTATACTGGTACCCGAAATCACACGGACCCACCAAAGAGTCTGAGCCGTTGAACGAATTGGGATACATGTGTGTAATGTTAGGTGCTGCCCATGCTGGGGCAACCTCAAGATAACAATCAAAATGTAAATAAGAATTATTCAACTTTGAAACCAACTTATGATTTGCAAATTATATGTGTACTAACTTAATTTTATATAAATATACATTAATGATAATTTTGTAAAAAAAAATTTCAAACATTTTAAGAGGTGTTAAATAATAAAATTTAAAATTTCAGAGTCAAATTAATAACTTTCAAATTCTTGGACGTCATAATCCCCTTGATCTTTCTTATCTTCCACCAGTTCACTAGTTGAATGTTAAAGGATAAACTTGCTAATAGTAAAGTAATCACAAGTCTATAATCAAACTAATGAATTCAATTATTATATAACGCAATTTAATTAAAATGGAAACAGTATATACTGATGTGGCATAACAATTTGTTTAACTCCTTTCTCTTAATTAAGTATACTATATTAAAAGTAAAACGCGTTATTTACCAAAATTCTTACAGTTAATTCTATTACTGAGATAACTACGAAAAAAGTTGCCTTAATAATCTCCCAGTATCTTTGGGGAATATCTCGACTCACTGTGCGATGACATTAGGTTATACCTTTTTACTTTTAATATATTAATATTATGTAATCATATGAATTTTAATTGTTTTTTACTATAAATAAATTAAGCAGACCCAAAATTCTAATTCTCAAAGATCAAGCAATATAGGAATCAAAAGGAGGATTTTCTTTAAAGAATTTTGTTTTACGTCTACGATGTCGAAGATGGATAAGATAGCTGTGGCTTTCAACGAAGCAGCACTGCTACACGAGACCAGCGGCAGCGAGCATTCTCCGGAGGACCCGACCGACTTGTCGGATCTCGTGAATTCGTTCTTCGAGAGTGGTGGTGGTTTTGATGTTGAAACCGATGAAGCGGTGACATTTCATCAAGAGCGAGACGTCTCCGATGATTATTGTCGGATTCCGAAACGAAAAGTATGTTGCTGGGTTTGATGCACTACAGCGAAGAGGACAATGTGAAGCAGATGATTAAGAAAGAGACAGAACATGCATGTGAGATGTCCGTAGGGTACGGGTTATCCGAGGATTTCAAGCGTCGGTTGATGTCTCATCTACGCGACAAGGGCTTTGATGCTGGTTTGTGCAAAACCCGGTGGGACAAACTAGGACGAAATCTACTCTCGGTTGCCTACGAATACGTAGATGAATATACTAATGGATCTCGTTACATTGTCGAAATAAATCTCGGGGCTCAGTTCGAAATAGCTCAACCAACAACCAGTTAGGCCTCGTTACTCGAACTTATACCACCGATCTTCGTTGGTAAACCCAAAGAGCTGAAGCAGATCGTGAAGCTAATGCGCAAAGCAATCCATGAAAACCGTGAACATGTACTTGCCACCGTGGCGGCGAAGTGGCTACATGCAATCCAAGTGGTTCGGTCTTCACAATCGCACCGTTAATGATGTTCCGATCCGGACGACGATAGCAAAGAATAATTTGAATGACTCATTTATAATTTTTTTGAAATTCAATGGCGCATTTTTAATCCTTTTAATAATTGAGTAATGTATGGTGTAATTTAACCATTCTAGAAGCTATTCCTGGCTGTGTTTGTATATCCGGCCAAAAAGCTATGGAACTCGCAAGCAATACATAAAAATGAATGAGTTATAGTGATCCATAGGCATGAAAGTGCGGGGAAAAAGTTATTGAAATGTGTGAAGTCCGGTTAGCAGATTGATCGACAAAGCACGATAATCGACCAGTTAACTTCACAGCCATTTGATTTCACTATCGCTACAGCCGCATTGGCAAGACAAGATCTAGGGTACCGATTTGATTCAAGCTCTTTATCTTGGTACATGTAGCTTCAACAGTCATCGTTTTTCTTCCTTCTTTAATCAGGGATAAATACGATGACCAAGTAGTGGTTTTTTACGAGCCAAAACGACGACTTCATACATTAGAAGAGAAACCAATAGCAAAGACATGGAAGGATATGGCCGCTGCTGCCTTTGTGAAAACCCTATTATTTATGTAGGGTTTAAACTAACGTCAGCGGAGATTTCGGATGGAGGAGGAGACATCCCAGCCATATATCTCTAGGGGATCAGGATGTGATTTACTTTTTGGACAATTTTGTCCTTCGAATTTATTATTTTATCAATCTGATCCTTTGGAATAAAATAAGGAACATAAATGTCCACTTTTATATCAATATCTTCTACATTGATATATTAAATGTTAAATTTATTAAAAAAATATATAATACTCTAATAATAATTTAATAGATTTAAAAGTTAATTTATATTTTATCAAATATCATAATCTTATATTTCAATCAAATAATCTTACAAAAAGTCAAGTTAAAGATAAATATTACTATAAAGCAAGGTAAAAGTAAGATTGTACCCAAAATCATGTTATCTGTTATTTTTATTAAATCATGATATGTAATCATATTTTTTTTCAAAAAAATTAATTAATTATTAAGTAAAATATTAATAAATTAAATAATGTAATTATACATTTTAAAATTTAAAGAGTGCAAATTTTAAATAATATGAGGTAATTATATGTTAATGTAAGTTCATAATTTTTTTAAATTATTGTTTAGTGATAACACACTCTCTAAAAACACAAATATTCAAACTCGAGTCCTCTAAGACTGAATAACACTTTTTTTTCTATTGAAACCACTCAATAAATTCAATTAAAGAATATAATTAAGAACTCCAATTATATTAAACTCAATGAAACTCATAAATTAATGACTGACTAGTATATATATAATTACAAAATTATATAAGTAGTCATTGATTTTAAAAAAAAAATTATTTTGATTATTGAACTTTTAAAATTTATATTATAATCACTAATTTGTAATTCGTTTTTATTATAATCACTATTATTAAAAAAATGATGCGACATATTAAAGTATTCTTCCAAAAAAATCTTATGGTTGTAAATTTGCAACCATCTTTACAGTCAAAAATTTAATGAATAGAGTGATCATCTATCAATCTTACCATATAAATGATATGCTTGCCCAAAATATTAATATAGTTTGATCTTAAGCTGATCCGACAATTGAAAGTTATAGATAAAGTAAATTTAACTTTTATTTTTGATTAGTATTTACTAGTGATTTGAGGACATTGAAAAATTTTAGTTTGAACCAAATGAAAGAAAAATGTGAAGATAAGTAGTTTTGTGATTGTTTTATAGGAGGAATCATCGAATGACAATAGACATGACGACGTAAAGATAAGGCGATCCAATAAAAACTAAAACTTTGTTTATATGTCATTGTTAATCGTTAAATCAACTTGAAATCGAACTATGTTAATCTTTTAGTCAAACATGGTTTTTCTACCACTTAGATTGATCATTGATCGCTCAGTTAATAAAAAAAATCAACTTTTGTAATGGCTGTCAATTTAAAAAATTAGGATTTGTTGGAGAAGAAAACTCCACATCAGTATTTTCTAACGACATCTAATGGTAATGATCGTAATGAAAGCAAACTAAAATTTTATTGCCAGTAATATAAGTTTTAAAAGTTTTATATTATCTGATAATTTAGTAAAATTATGGCTATAAATGAGACAAAACAAATTGCAAGTTACTAAAGATCGGTTCAGTCAAAGTTCAGTTGACATTTGATTCGAATGAATCGTATCAAATTATCAACGAGCCAAAACGAGTTACTTGATACTCGACTTGAAAAGCTCGCGAACTACTAAAAAATATATATTAAAATTTTAAAATTAAATTTATTAATAATATTAACATTTATATGTTACATATTTTTTAAGAAAAATATGATATAAGGTTTTTATGTACTTAAGGTTCATGTTCGAGTTTGAGTCGAGCTTCAACTTTTGGTTCCAAGTGCAACTTGAAAATTTTAAGCTCGTGAACTTTCGAATTGAGTTGAATCAAGCTTCAAATTTTCATTTTGAGTTTAAGTTGAACTTGACAATTTTAAGCTCTCAAGTTTTCAAATTAAATTAAACTAAAATTTAAAGTTTTCAAATCAAATTAAACTCAACAATACTCGAATTCGACTTTGCTGGTTTACAACTCTATCTCTATTAGTGACTTGAGCATCTTGATTTGATGAAACTGACATACTCTTTCATTTGCTTGAGACATTCTTATCTGGAACTCGTCCAATATATGTTCGAACATTCGTTCAGACTCGTCTAATATATGTTCCAACATTGGTTTATTTTATTAGGGTAAAATATGTGCGTAGTGTTCCAACTATTAGTCACTTTTTGTGGACTCTCTCAACTATAAATGTTAACTCAACTTAAAAAAGGATAAATCACAAGTTTTCTACTTAAACTATTACTTTTATTCTGTTTTGATATCTAAATTTTATTTTTTTCAAAATAATATCTAACATTTAGTTTAGATTTCAATTTGGTATTGTGATTTTAAAATGTTAATAGAGTTTCTGATATAGTATTTTTTTTCAATGATAGCATAACATTATCTTATGGAGTCATGTCAAAATTATTGTTAAGTTTTTAATGGCAGGTACCAAATTGAAACCTAAACTAAAAGTTAAATATGATTTTGAAAAATAATAAAATTTAGGTGTCAAAATAAAACAAAAATAATAATTTAGATACTAAATGTGTATTTTACTCTAAAAAATAGCGAAATGACAGGTCATTACTTTTTGGTAGGGCTAGAAGACATGAAATTGGTATAATAACATATTTAACCCTTAAAGTTTTCAATTATTTAAATTTGACCTTAATTTTCAAAAAATTAGACCACATAAATTTAGTAGTCTACCAATTTAATTTTAATTTTAATTTTAATTTTAATCTTCTTCTATCCCAAAAAATGACAGAACGTGAAGAAGATAGAAGATCTACAACATCCATAAAAATTAATCAAATGAAAGAAAAAAAACAAAACATTAAAATTCAAAAAAATCTCAAATTAATATTTTTGAAAGGAGCATTTTGTATGTTATTAAAACGACGAAACATAAAAATAATGACAAAAATTAATGTCTCGTTAAAAAAAACCCCCTAGATCTAATTGGAGGCAAAAGAGTGTCCCAAATTAGTGCCAAACGGAACATATAACATCGAGCAACACCAAAGTGATACAATGCACTTCACATCTTAACACAACACAACCAGGAACGGAACTTAACCAGACCATAAAAATCTACTACAGGAACTAACAAGGAAGCCTGCACTAATCAGTATGGTTGTACACGAACCTACAGCAGCCAGCACACCCAAATCCGCTCACCCATCGACAGCTCAGCGAGGCCATCAACCCATCACACGATATAGTCCTCTAAACTATAAAATGCATTCCGTAGTAAGGAATAGATACTGGAAAAATAAAACAGCCCCCTAAGGAACCTCCCAAAGTGCACAGAATTTGTAATACAATAACCGCAGCAAAGACCAAACAAAAACTTGAAAATAAAATCCACCACCAAAAAGATTTCACCTCTTGCATCGTCTTGCTATCTCAAGAACAACCTGCCGAACACAGAACCAATCCAATATCTCGAAGGCTCTGCCATAATACCGAACAAAAATATGTTGACCCTTTCAACTCCGACAGTACCAAGAAGTTGCTTAGACAAAAACACCGATACATCTTAGGAAAATCGAAACCAGACAAACTAGAGACTACCTTAGAGACACCACAAAGAAAAGAAAGTCGCCTCATGTCCAAACTCCAAAAACTAATAACCATCTGAACTTACGAACTCCTGAATAAATTCTCGCTCATCCCCTTCAATTTGAAAACCAAGATTCTTACCAAAATCCCATGCTTTCTCAGCTTTCTTAAGGATTAATTTTCCTGTTGATGATATCCGAATCATACACAGAAGCATTAACCATTTCGCTAGATTCAACTTGAATCTTTGAACTTTGTTTCTTCACAGCTTTATCTCAAACCCATATTACTAACATCCTCAAAGGCATGCCTACAACCCGAATTTGATAAGACCTCATCTACACGATCAACTGATGACCCAATCAATTCAAATTGATTAAGTACCTCGACCGCAGCTTCCTTGGATACTAACCCCAACACTGAAAATTCCCCACGTGGAGAACCATCCACTGCACCCTTCCTCCAAAAATTGCATGGAAAATCATTTACACCATAGGCCCCACTTTCATTAGCAATTAAACCTCCACAAAAGCTTCATCATTTCCAACCACTTGCATTAAAGTGCTGCTGCGTTCTCCATGCAGATTACAATGATTATCGTTCAGAATTTCCAGCTGGCACAGCTCAGGCACGCAACCAGAATTTGGGTCGACCATAGCTTCCTTTTTAACCAGGGCGGTCTAATGAGTTTTAATGTCCTAGACGAGATAATAATTTCATGTCCTTATATTTATACCGTATAGATAAAACATAAATAATTTTTTAAAACAAAAATGTAATAGAAATTATAGTCAAATAATATCAATACTAATACAAATCAAAACTACAAGGCTAGCAATATCACATAAAACGATGCATTCGTGTATTTTTTGAAGCAAAAACCTCTATTATTTTACGATAATCAATATTTTATAAAAATTGACTTTCGATGCTTAGAATTGCTAATCCGTTCAATTTATTTTAAGTCATCGTGCTTCGAAGATAGGATTTCAAGAGCTTTAATTTTGAAAAACTTCTTTCCGCGGAAACAACCGTAACCGGTACCGTCAACAAAATTTTATATGCTATGAACACATTAGGGAACATATCTATTCTTCTTGCAAACTCCATTATTTGAATAGATGTCCATAGACTTTCAC